ATTACTGTTTTGCATCAGCACTGTGGGCAGCAGCTCTTGATGAAGGTCGCAGTAGAATGTTGTATTCTGTCCTTGAAACTTGAACGGAAGCAGATATGGACCTGCCTGCATTCAAATCACCTTGTACTGTGACTCCACCAGAACTGCCGCCGAACATCCTCCTAGCTTGCAGCTCCTGAAAATACCATGGCGTCCTTCACGTGAGAGAAGTGCTGAGCCCTAGCTACCTTCTGGTACATCCCACTTCTCTCCACTTTCCCTGCTGTCCAGCTTTGTAGGATAATCTTCTCTTCCTATCCTTAAGCAAAGCGCAGTCCTGCTGTCCCTGAGCTAGTCACATTTCAGTTGTAGACAAATAGTAGGTTTTATAGTTTCTCCTTACTTCTGTGGGTGTTTGCAGGACAAAAGTAACTTGAGATTTTAGAATGTTTTGAGGTACTGTAACCCCGATGCATGTTGTGATTCTTGTGCCCTGTGGATGGCAGGTAGACCTAGTACTTCAGAAGTGTGGAGCCTGTTCATTTGTGTCTAGCTGGAGCAGAGAGAGAGAGAGAGTTTGGCCCTTAGTGTGGAGTGGGGGATGGAAGTCATGCTGGATTTTAATCTGCTGTGTGAAAGCGATTCTAATTTGAATTGTTGCTTTGTGTTGAAGTGTCTGAGTGATGGGCAAATATGTTACTGCATGGGTGTTATGGGATAACTTTAGGCAGAGGAGATGAGCATCTTTGTATCAGGGGAAAAACAGAAGCTTCCACTCTGACTTGTCCTCCACAGCAGCTTTTCTCCTGTAACCACGGGAGAGGTCCAGGGAGTTTTGAGTCCTGTGCCCTAATGGGATGGAGCGTGGGGTATCGTGCATCCAGCGGCCTGTTGCATGGCCTCTTGCCAGTGTCCTCCAGAAGAGAACATTAGGGCTGGTGAACCGCCAGCCCTTAGCAGTGCATATCTTTCTCTCTGGCTCCTTGAAAAATCAGGATATGATTTCAGGATGGTATAAATCAACTGGTCACTTGATGTAATGGCAAAGTAAAACGGTAACAGGTGCCTGGGGATAACTCATATCCATACCACTTCTAGCTTTCCTCCTTCTCTGAAAGCCCTTCCCCTGCATGGTAGAGACATAACTTCAAGCAAGGAAATATCAAAGGGATCCCTTACAAAAAGCAGCTTTCAGCTGGTCTTGCCGAGACTGAATATTGCTGAAGCGGTTTATAACTGCGTGTTCCCTAAAGAGCTTTGTCTTAATGGAGCTGACTGTCCATACTCCTTCTGGTTTTTTCTTCTACTTGAACATTAAAGCTTTTCTTGCTGCTGTTTTTAACCTGACAGCAACTTGATCATTCTCCCTGAGATCAAGTTGACTTTTTTCCCCCTCCTCACTCGAAATTGTCAGAAGGGAAATATCTCTTCTTGCTGTTTTTTGTGTTCCTGATAACTGATGGCTGCTTTGTGACAGAGCAGCTGGGCTCTTTTATGACAAGCTGAGGTGTCTCCCTGACTGGTACCTCCTCTCTCATTTCCACCACATGTAAATGTTCTGGATGGGGAAGCTGGGTAATAACATCTTCCTCCCCTGCTGGCCTTTGTCTCCGATTAGCTACCACTCAAAGACACATCTTTCACTGCAGCGCTGATCAGAGGATATGGGAAGGGATACGTGACTGATGATTTTTAGCATCTTGGCCCACCTGAGGCTGCATGAGTGCTGTCCACTCCCTGGCAGAGGAATCCCTGGCATGTTAGAATGGAGGTGGTTCCCAGGGAAGAGATTTTGAAGAGGACACAGCTTGTTTCTTTGCTTCCCTCCTTTTAGGAGGGGATAGGAAATGTGTTCATGTTCCCACTCCCTAACAAAGGCAACTGAGCAGTGAAAATTGCCTCCTGGGACATGTCAGCAGCAAAACAGCAGAGGGTACTGCAGGGCCAGCTTGCTTTGGCAGAGCTGCAGGGGAGGGCTGCATGCACCAGCCTGGCTCTCCCAGGCGCAGACTGCAATAACAGGGAGGCAACGCAGCCATGCACAGGCTGAGTTTTGCCAGTGGGTGAAAAGCTGCAGAGCCGTGTGCTGAGCCTGACAGATATTGATGTATGCAAATGTCAAGTGAGGAAAATATGCTTCACTTCCTAAAACCATGTGTCCTGCTATGTTGACACGGCACACCACATCCCAGAAAGTGAAGGAGTTTGTTGAATGTCAAGAGTTATGACCTTTTGTCTGGGAATTTATTGTGGCACACAGAGCATCACAGCCATCTGGGAAGAAGATGGAGATGTGCCTTATGTGACACCTGTCCTCTGTCTTGGGCTGGCCCAGAGGAAGCTGGCTGCCCTGGATTTGTGCGTCCTGTAGGAACTGGAGTGAAACTAGCATTACCTGGCAGCCATTGGGATTGCCTTGTTGGAGCAGGCCAGCCATTCATCTTGCCCAGGTTTCAGCGTCTGAGAGAGCGACCTGATGTCTGGAGGTAATGCCTCGGAGAAAGCGCAGGACACCTGATCAGAGAAAGCTATACTAATTTACCAGCGAGGGATGTTTTCTCCTGACAGCCAGTCGCTGCTAATTTAGTGTTTTCAGCTTCCTTGTGCCCTTCTCTTCCCCACACTTCAAGACAGAGCAAAAACTGGTGACATGCAAGGAAAAGGCGCTGGATACTTCAGCAAGACATTAACGGAACCTTAAAAAAAAGAAAAAAAAAAAAAAACCAACAACAAACCCAAAACCCGGACACTATGAGATGCTTTTCAGGGGACCTCTTGCTTTGCCCCCATGAAGAAAGCTTGAGAGTGAGCCCCAGGATGGTCCTGTATGGCTTTGAGCAGGAAAGCATCCAGCCCCTTCATGGCTGGGCCCCCACAGAGATGGCCTCCCACCAGCCGGGCCATGACCAAGCATGTGAGGCCAGGCTGCGGGGCCGTGGCAGGTGGGTGCAGGAGGCAAGGGCCTGCCCTGGTGTGGTCCCCTGAGGAGAGCCGCCATTTCCTCCTTCCCAGCCTGCCTGACAAGATGGCCTCCCCGGGGGTGTACAAAGCAAGGACCTTGCCCCTCTGCTGACCTGTGTCATGTCAAAGTATATAAAAAACTGTAATAAATATTAACAAACAGGATCACGCTCTCCCTTTGGGTTTTTTTTTTCTTTTAATTTTTTCTCCCTCTCATGGCAATGCTGTAACTTTTCTGCCAGCTTCAGGCCTGCGGCCCCCCTCTTCAGAGCTTGATGTGGGACTCCTCATGCTGCCACCCGAGCGTGGGAGATGGCGTTGGTGGACAGTGCTTCTCACTAAAAGGCGACTGTAAAATGTCCAGGAATGCTTGTCACTGAGCTGTAAGGTATAACTGCAGACAACCCCTCTACCAAAGTCCATATCGGAGCCATCTGGAGAAAGCCAGATACGTTTTCCTTTGGGCAGTTGCCATCTGTCTAAATGCTTTATGGCTTTTCACTTTAGTATTAAATTCTCTCCAGGTTAATCAGTAAACGCGCTTTGCAGTATTTTACTTAATACCCTCCGAAGCGGTGGGAGTGGGCTGGGTGCTTCTTCCCTCTACTGCTGCCCTAGGACACGTGTCGGCTGTGAGGAGCCCCGGGACAGCCCCTGCGTGGGGCCGGTGGCATGGGGTGGCTCCCCGTCCCCCCCAGGAGGGGCGACTGCCTCTTGCGAAGGTGTTGCCAGCACCATTGCACGCTGGGCAGGAGGGTTTGTAAGTGATAGCACAGGGTGTGTGGTGCCTTTCAGGAACTTTGGCCTTGGGAGGGGGACGGTGCCAGGGCAGAGAGCCGCCAAGAGGGAGTGTGTTGTGGAGGGGGCACAGCGGTGCGTGGGGCTCAGGGGGTCTCTGCCTCTTTGCCTGCTGCTGCATGGAGGGATTCATGCTCCGGGGAGGAGAGGACAGCCTTTGCGTTGCAAAGGGCTTTTGGGTGACCTTGTTCCCCTGCCCACCTTTGCCCAAACCTTCCCTTCCTTATGCTGCAGAAGGCGACCACCTTTTCTCCTTTTCCTTGGCAAAACATTGGGTGAGCTTAACTTTTTTCTTTCTTCTTGGTTTTTTTTTTTCCTTTTTCTGGATTGTAGTCTTCAATCATTTCTCTGCCTGACAGCAGCTCTGTGCTCCCTGCCTGGGCTGGAGGAGGGGAGGTGGTGTAGAGAGAAGATGAAGGCAATATTTCGTGTTGTTTGGAGGGAAGGGCTCTGCATTGCTGGTTTCTTGCTGGTCTGACATGGATCTGTCACAATGGCACTGTATTACAAGCGGAGACAGCTAGGCGTTTATTTTAGCCACCTTGATCCAGATGCAAAAAACCCTCAGCATCTGGTCCACAGAAAACGAAAAGCAAAGGGCAACATTTATTGATACCATGGACTTGAGAAGGACAGGAGAAGAGTAAAAGTGACAGAATCTTAATTTTTTTTTTCCTGTTCTCCATGTGAACTTGGGTAGCATTTCCTAGGAACATGGGTGGTTTTTAGGGCGTGTGAGCAAACACTGAAAAGGTCTGGGGAGCATAGGTGTTTTCCTGGCTCTGGCAGCCTGGCTAATTATCTTGGGCCTTTAAAACTGCCTCTCTTACACCAGTCATGTTTTCAAACGTTTACCCCCTACTCTTCTCATCCCTCCTCTTCATCTTCCCCAAGTCCTCTGGTGATGCAGGGATGAGGAGGCCTATGTTCACTTTTCTGCCAAGTGCAGTGAGTTCATTAGATCATGAATTCCTGTTATTCTGGATTTCCTGTCTTTTTACCCCCTCACCTTGTCTTTGTGAGTTTATAAGACTGTGACTGATCTAGAAGAGGTTCAGCTTGGTGTGGCCCAGCTGAGGCAAAAGGCCCACTGAAGGTGGCAGAGGGTGGGGGGAGTAGTTCTTGGATTCAAGTCTCAGAAGATGCATGCTGTATTTGGACCAGCTTTCTGCCATCCCCAACCTGTCTTCCTACCAGTGGTAAACTTTTTACACCTCAGTTCCTATTGAATGTGACTTTCCTTTTCATGGCTTTTCCACAGGATGAAGATGAGACGCCATAAGCTCTTTCTGACTCTCTGCATGGCTGGTCTCTGCCTCATCTCCTTCTTGCACTTCCTCAAGGCCCTTTCCTATGTCACCTTCCCCCGGGAGCTGGCTTCGCTTAGTCCCAACCTCGTCTCCAGCTTCTTCTGGAACAATGCCCCTGTCACACCTCAGGTCAGCCCTGAGCCAGGGGGTGCAGAGCTCCTCCGCACACCCCTGTACTCCCACTCCCCCTTGCTCCAGCCCCTGCCTCCCAGCAGAGCCAGCGAAGAGCTGCACAAAGTTGAGTTTGTGCTGCCGGAAGACACGACAGAATATTTCGTTCGTACCAAAGCTGGTGGCATTTGCTTTAAACCAGGCACCAAGGTGTTGGAGAAGCCACCGGTGGGAGGGCGGCCAGAGGAGCGAGCGGATGGCAGGCGCCGCCCGCGAAAGCCACTGAGCGCCAGAGGGACCAAACGGCGCAAGTGGGTGGAGTGCGTGTGCTTGCCGGGCTGGCACGGCCCCAGCTGCGGGGTCCCCACTGTGGTTCAGTACTCCAACCTGCCCACCAAGGACCGCCTCGTGCCACGGGAGATCCCCCGGCGGGTCATCAACGCTATCAACGTTAACCATGAGTTTGACCTGCTGGACGTCCGCTTCCACGAGCTGGGAGATGTGGTGGACGCCTTTGTGGTGTGCGAGTCGAACTTCACGGCGTACGGAGAGCCACGGCCCCTCAAGTTCCGTGAGATGCTCCTCAACGGCTCCTTTGACTACATCCGCCACAAGGTGCTCTCCGTCTGCCTGGCCCACTTCCCCCCCGGCGGCCGCCAGGACGGCTGGATTGCTGACGATTACCTGCGCACCTTTCTCACCCGGGACGGCATCTCTCGCCTCCGCAACCTGCGCCTGGATGACGTCTTCATTATCGATGATGCCGATGAGATCCCGGCCCGCGATGGCGTACTCTTCCTCAAGCTCTACGATGGCTGGACGGAGCCCTTCGCCTTTCACATGCGCAAGTCGCTCTATGGCTTCTTCTGGAAGCAACCAGGCACCTTGGAAGTGGTCTCGGGTTGCACCATGGGGATGCTCCAGGCTGTTTATGCTAACGACGGGATCCGTCTGCGGCGCCGCGAGTACTACACCATGCCTGGCTTTCGGCAGTATGAGAACAGCACAGGACACATCCTGGTGCAGTGGTCGCTGGGCAGCCCCCTCCACTTTGCTGGCTGGCACTGCTCCTGGTGTTTCACCCCAGAGGGGATCTACTTCAAACTGGTGTCAGCCCAGAACGGGGACTTCCCCCGCTGGGGTGACTACGAGGATAAACGAGACCTCAATTATATCCGGGAGCTGATCCGGACTGGTGGCTGGTTTGATGGTACTACACAGGAGTATCCCCCTGCCGACCCCAAGGAGCAGATGTATGCTCCCAAGTACCTGCTCAAGAACTACCAGCGGTTCCGCTACTTGTTGGAGAACCCCTACCAAAAAGTGGAGGGCGCTGGGTGAGGCCACCCGGGCTTGCGTGGGAGGAAATCAGAACGTCACAACAAAGGTAAAGAGTCGGGTGTTTTCATCTCTTCCTTTCTTTTTTCGTTTTCTTTGGTTCTGGGTGGGGTGTGACATTTCTCCCGGGGTCTCTGCCCTCCCTCCCTTCCTTCTCTCTTTCCCCTCTTCCCAGAGTGATGCCTGGGGACATGAATTCCTCAGTCATGTGAAGGGAGGCCTGGGCAGGAGGAGGAGAGATGTTGGGGACTTACTCTGGCAGTAGCATAAAGACTTTCCTGCATCTCCCAGACCTCTCCTGCTGGCTGGAGAGAATCTCTGCAGCCAGCTGGCGGATTTTCCTCCGGGGGAGGCTGGAAGGGTCCCATGGGAAGAGAGGGCAGCTGTTCCCATCCACCCTCGTCCTTTGTGGATTGGAGCAAGCACAGATGCGAGCCTGGGCTATTCAGTGAGCGTGTGAGTCAGCAGGCACAATGCGAGTGGTCACGTGTGCAGATGTGTGTCAGAGGCATTTTTTGGATGACTGAATGTGCAAAAGCATCTCAGTATGCGTTTATTTTTTGTATACCTCTATATTTAAAGAGTATTTTGGGGAAGGGAAATCCTTTGCTTCCAAGGTGTTCTTCCTAAGGTGCAGCCTCCTCCCGCAGGCTTAATGCATCTGCCGTGGGCTGTGTCTTGCCCTGATGCTCTATCAATCCTGGAGCAGGCACATGGGAAGCAGAGGAGAAAGCTGATTTTTTTTTTCTTTTTTTTTTTTTTTTTTTTTTTTTTCTTTAACTCCTTTTTCACCCCTGCCCCCACAACACTGCACTGGCTTGACCCACAGAAGCTGAAGCATCTTCCCTGCAGTACGTGCTTATATTGGGGCTGGGATAAGCTGCAGGGACTTAATCAGATGGTGGGAGTGTATGTTTACAAGTGCATGGTTTCCTATGTGCATGAGTGCTAACATGCATGGTTTTGGTATGCACGTGGGCGTTCGTTACCAATATTGGCGGGGGAAGGGGACATAGTTGGGCTTGGGTGTGTGTGCTTTCAGGAAATGGTGGGATCCAGAAGCTGTGATCTCTGTCTCAGCATGGATGACTTTTTGGGGAATTCATAGAAGGCCAGGGAGAGCATTGGCTCTGCATAGCAGTGCAACACTCGTGGGACCATTGCATGCCTCTCTGGCTACCTCTGCAACCCTGTGGGCTGTGCCTGTTGCAGGGCTGCTGCTTACACGTGCTGGCTATTCCTTCTTGCCGTGGGGTAAAAGGGAGAGGAGAAGGGCAAAGCTCTGAGTCGGTGATGGGTGTTGTGGAAAAACACAAAGCCTGTCAAGGCATAGGATCCATCTCTCTGCTCTTAGGGTGTGAGGTAGCTCGTGGAGAAAGGGGCCATGGGCAGACTCCCCCTGGGGCCAAGAGACTGTTTTGGGACCATTATGCAATCCAGAGAGCATGTGCAGCCCACACGTGCAGCCTGGGCCATGCAGACAAGACCATGCAGAGGAGAAGGGATCTAGGAGGACACTAGTTGCAGCTGGTTGGGCCAGTGTCTGCTCAGAGTTTGCCAGTGATGGGTAGTCAGGATCTGGCCTGTGGTTGTATTCTATTGATTCAGCTCATTGAGGAGGCAGATCCACGTCTTCACCCTTACCACCCTTCCTTAGCAGATGGTTTGATGGGGTGCCCAGAGCTTGGGCTGTAGTGGGCAGAGGGTGAAAAACATGATGAATGTGTTCTGTTAGTCTTGCAGTGGAAAGACTGGCTCATGTTCCAAGCAGAGAAGCGAGGAGCATGTGTGGGGGAAGGAGGAAAATGTTGGCATAAGGAAGAGTGACCCTGACATCAGGCCAGCTGTGCTGAAGCAGGAGGGTTTCCATTGCCATTCCCACCCTTGTGCCTCATTCCCATCTCTGTATCTCTCTCTTTCTCCCTCCTATTCCCCTCTCTAGAGAAGTGAAAAACATCAAGAAAAATAATTTGATTGCCTAATAAGACTGAGACTGGAACAGAATGAAGATGAACATCTTTTTCTGATCAAACTGAGATGGAGTTCATCTTAGCTCCTTCCACATCTCGTGCCATAATGCCTGCTTAGAAGAACTGAAGGAACCTCTTTTTTTGTTTGTTTGTTTTTTAAATCACTGTTCTCACTTCTGCTGTGTCTTCCCCACAGGTAGAAAAGCCCCTTTGGGAACTGAACAGAGGGAGAAGCTTTGGTAGGCAGAACG